ATGTGATGAAATGGAGGTTTTGTTCAACATGCGTATGCAAAACTTTTCAGGTACTAACATTTATATGAATGGTGTCAGCTTTCATTTAATTAAACATTGGATTGTAAAGCTTATTTTAAAGGGGCTCCTGTTTGTAAATGTCACTATTTTTTATTTGAATTCAAACCTTCTGGAAAAGAATGATATTTTTCAAAACTAACTTCCCTTTGTTTTAAATAGAATTACTGATAGAAATAATTATACACTGCGGTTTTAATATAAATGAATGGATTATCTCTACTTTCTGTTACCCTAGTTTATTTATTTATTTTTTTTGTGATGAAGAGCTGAAGTCATAAGTTGTTTCAGTTAATATTAGTGTCTGGAAACCTTTTTTATGAATGAATTCAATAGAACCAAAGTTTGAGCATGTTAGTATGAATATTAGGAAGAAATGGACATCAGATTGCACAAAGCAACAAACATGCATTCACTGGCTTCTTTATTATGAACACCTGTTCAAATACTTGGGACAGCAAGTCAACTAAATATTTAATTCAATGATGCAGGTGTAGTGCTGGCCTCGACCTCAATTCAAGAACAGCCTAAATTTGGTTAACTTGGGTGATTGACCCAGATGAAAATGTCAGAGTGCAACTTTAACTTTTAACTTTTTTTTAAAGATCCTGCAGAAAAATTAAAATTTCTTTAAAGTGGATATTGCTTTCAGACATTTTTTGCTGAAAGCAATGTTTTCTGCCTTTAATCTCATTGTAGTCACTTTCTGTGAAACATAGCTGTGGGCACAACAATTTAAGTTGACTAAATAAAGTTTGGGAACAATATTCCGTTTTTATTTCTAAAATACATACTAAAATAAATCAAAATTTGGAAATTGGCTGTTGCTTTCTTTTTTTTTTTTTAACACATAAGTGCAAAGCTGCAGGACCGTATTCATGTTTTACCTGTACAGTGAGTTATGGATACCTTTGCTTACAGGAAGACCTTTGCTTCTTTCATTAGAAAATTGTTTCTTTGTTGAGAAGATATTTCAAACATGTTTGAAATCATGTTTCGAACATATCATGTTTCAAAAATTATTGTTTAGCAGATTGTTTTAGTTCAATTTAAATAGCTATACTATTTAAATTATTCTAATTTCTTTGTTGCTTTTTTTAAAATGTAGCAAATATTATTACTATTAAGTGCTATAAAAGACAGAGTCTTAACAAAATATAAAACAGTAAGACAAAAAAGACTGGTTGACTTCCTTACAAGTGTGTGGGCTGTAACTTGATAAGGAACAGAATGTTTTTTTTCATTGCCTTGTTTTCTCTTTCCAGTAGAGGGCAGGATGTGTCTAAATAAGGAATATTTTTCTTTGTGGAAGCATTTAGTCACAAAGTCTCACAAATTCAAGCTGAATCTGCAGCATTTTCAAGTTTTCCAGATGCATAAACAGGCCAGTAAAGAGATTTTACAACAGTTCCTTCATTTAGTGGAAGCTGTAAGATCTGTGATCTCAAAACAATTTGACCATTTTTTTCCCCATCAAGTTGCTCTGTTTGTAGAATCTCCAAAGCAATTCTGATTGATCTTACCCTGTAGATAATTTATTTTTATGTAGTTGTTATATTTTTTCTACTCACATGATTCATTAATAATAAACAAATAAATCTACCAAGTGAGCTTTACAATCTGTGTGCAGAATAATAATTATACCACAGCATCAATGTGTGAATTACTGTCTAAAAAATATTCTGAACTTTATTTTTATTTCATAACCTTTTTAATTTGGTATTCCTTCTTTGTTATTTTTTTGTCTAGATGTGACAAATAAACATGAAACTTTTTTTCAACCATTTTTTATCAAAGTAGTTATACTCAGAAGTTCACTGCAAAGTTAATCAAAAAGAGAATATGTTCACCTTTCTTCAACTATAAAAAATGAGTTAATTCTTTTGTTGCATTACTTGTTTAACAAGGAAGAGATGTTCTCAGAAATCTCAAGCATTCATTAGAGGCTGAAGGCAGGAGAAAAATAAATAAATAAAAACTCTCGCAGAGCTATTTTGACAGAGAGAAACAGTCTCCTCTTTGTTTTCATGAACGTAAGAGCTGAAAAAGTCCCTAGGAGTTTGAATCCCAGCCAAATGTAATTTGACTTGACAGATGTTTGCACCTGAAAGATGATTTGTGAACAATTCTTCACTTGATTTCTTATTCCATTGCTCCAACAAAGATTTGAAAAACAAAATCTAGACTCAAAGAAACTGAAGCAAAGCTCAAAAAAGCCACAGGAGCTGTGAACACTGAAATATAAATGTTTAGGAGGTAATAAGTTGAGTTGAATTTTAACTGTAGATGTTTGAATTATTGGTCTCACTGCGGATTACTGTGGCTTATTTACAAAAATTAAAAATAATGTGATTTTTGGATAAGATAAGATAATAAGCAATTTAGTAAAAAAAAAGTTAATTTCATGTCTCATGCAATGTTTCTATTAATATTCTTACATGAAACACACTAATCAAACCACTTATAAAAATAAAGCATATTTTCCTCCTACAGTCGCCACATGCTTTCTCAGGATGAGAGATTGCTGTATGAGTCACTGACTCAATGCAGTTACTTGGTTTTCCTTATACATATAAGTAAAACAATTATACAACATATATAAACTGAATTTGTCAGGACTGTATTATAACTAAGATTGAATTAGAAGCTATAGAAGTTAATTGGAGTGAGTTTTTATTCATCTTTGATGGTCTGGATGAGTGTCAGCTTCCTTTGAACTTGAAGACTAATAACAATCTGACAGATGCTACACAACACACATCATTAGATGTGATACTAACAAACCTTATCAAGGGGAGGTTACTTCCTTCAGCTCGCACCTGGATCACAACTCGACCTGCAGCAGCCGTTCAGATCCCTCCTGAGTTTGTTGACCTGGTGACAGAAGTGAGAGGATTCAATGACCTCCAGAAGGAGGAGTACTTCAGAAAGAGATTCCCAGAGGAAGAGGAAAGCAAAATGGTCCTGTCTCATATCAAATCATCAAGAAGTCTCCATATTATGTGCCACATCCCTGTCTTCTGCTGGATCTCAGCAACAGTTCTGGAAGGTGCCTTTAAAACAAAAGCCAAAGGAGAGCTGCCCACTTCCCTAACAGAGATGTACGTCCACTTTCTGGTGGTTCTGTCCAAGGTGAAAAATGTGAAGTATGATGAAGAAACTGAGGCAAATCCCCAATGGACTCCAGAGACCAGAGAAATGATTAAATCCTTGGGAAAACTGGCCTTTGACTTATTAATTGTAAGTTTAATTTTTGACTTATTAATTGTAAGTTTAATTTTTGAGCAGTTAATGAAAGGCAACTTGTTCTTCTATGAATCATTGATGTCAGAGCAGCCTCAGTGTATTCAGGGGTGTTCACAGAGATCTTTCAGGAGGACAGGAGGATATTTCAAGATAAGGTGTTTTGTTTTGTCCATCTGAGCATTCAGGATTTTCTAGCTGCTGTTCATGTCTATCTGACATTCACCAACACTGGAATCAATCTGCTTTCACAAGAGAAATCTACAAACATGAAGTCTCAAATGTCCAGTGAGACATTTGATCTCTTCTACCAGAGTGCTATAGACAAAGCTTTAAAGACCCCAAAGGGACATCTGAATCTGTTTCTTCGCTTCCTGTTGGGTCTTTCTCTAGAAACCAATCAGACACTTGTCAGAGGTCTTGAAGTAGACACAACAACATGAAGCAGTTCCAATCAAAATACCATTCAGTACATCAAGAAGAAGATTGCAGAAATCATGTGTCTGTCTAAGAAAGACAATTTATTTCAGTGCCTGAACGAGCTGAAGGATTATTTGTCTTGTAGATGAGATTCAGCAAACTCCGACATCATCAAAACTGAAAACAGATAAGTTGACAATTCTAGTCAACATCATGTTGGCTTCGGAGGAGAATCTGGAACTGTTTGACCTGAGGAAATATCCAGGTTCACAGAATGTTCAGTTGGCTCTTTTACCACTGTTCATACATTCTACCAAAGCTGTGTAAGTAAAAAAAAAAAAAGAAAAAACATATCAAAATACATATTTTGAATTAGACATCAAGTATTCTTTTGTTTTTTTACAACCTGTTTAGGCTCAGCTACCTTGCTCTGACAGAGATGAGCTACAATGTTCTGGTCTCTAGCCTCCAATCTCCATGCAGTACACTGAAGGATTTGGACCTCAGTAACAATGACCTGCAGGATTCAGGCATGAAGTTGCTGTGTGACGCACTTTGCAATTCAAATTGCAAACTGGAAACTCTGAGGTCAGGAACTAACTATTTCTTTACCACATAAAATATATTTTGTTGACCTTAAGACACAGTTGCAATCCCACTTTAGTGACTGCTTCCATTTTTAGTGGCTATTCAGACTTGTAACAAATCGAGTCACTGTCACTGATCCCAATCTGGATTACAAAGAATTTAAATATAATTTCTCATGCTACACATCCATTTTGTGTTCAGGAGGCAATATGCTATGTATGTGCACGACCAAGTGACCAAAACTTAAACTGCAAAACCAGAAAAGTTAAAGTTAATTTATTTTAACACCTGAAATGGACATATGATGTCATTCGACATAATGAAATATTACCGTTGCTTCAACCTTGTTAAGCAACCTACGGAAGAGGATTAGGGCCACTGGAAAAAAAAAAAAATGTCCGAAAATTTTTTTTTTCAGTGGTTCAGAATAGGTTAAAAAAGAAAAAAAAAAATTTGTGGCCCAAAAAAAAAAAAAAAAAAAAAAAAAAAATTGTGGCCGAGAAAAAAAAAAAATCCGGGACAAAAAAAAAAATTAAAAAAAAAAATTGTGGCCGAGAAAAAAAAAAATATCCGGGACAAAAAAAAAAATCTGTGACAGAAAAAAAAAAAAAAAAAAATTGGTCCAGAAAAAAATAAAAATAAAAAATTGTGGGCCAGAAAAAAAAAAAAAAAAAATATGTGACAAAAAAAAAAATAGATAAAATGTCACAATTCGGACTGATGGGCGCCAGCAGCAACCACACAGACGCGAGTTGTGGCGGACAGCCAATGTTCTGGAGAAAATGTCTGATTTAAGCGACTTTTTACGTGCCAGAAGAGTACCAGAAGCGTCCATTGCACTAATGGAAGAACAAAAGGTGAGTAAATCAAATGGGATAGTTCAGTGTCTAAAGCCGAACGGTTACGGCTAGCTGTTAGCATGTTTGTTAGCATACGCGGTTAAAGGAATAAGCTGATTTACAATGTTAGATCACACGGATGAATATAGGATATAACAGCTGTTAATTGCTGGAATTGTCTCTAAAGTGTTTGGTATGTTTATTTTATTGTTGTTCTGTTTGAATGTTTTACAATTAAACTAAGGTTAGCTGTATATGTCAGCCACCTTCTAAATAAGATGTCTGCTGTGTTAAACTGCAACTTTTAGTTCAGTAGAGGACAGAAACTATAGTACAAAGTGACAGACGTTTATATATGCATATATTTAAAAAGAAAATATCATAGCCTTATCCAATTTGATCGACCCTCCATAAACAGAGCGCACAGTTTTGGATGAACTTATTTCAAGCCTTTCTGGTTGATGGTCACTTTACAGGAGATTTTTTGGATAAAAGCCTTATCCAATTCTGCTTTCTTAATCTTATTCAGGTAAAGGTGTATACTGGTACACTGTAATGTTTTTGTTTTAAAAAGTATGAAAAGCATATCTTCTGGTATGTTTACTAGAAATAAAAATGGTTTAAATTTCTTGGGAATGTGTTCCCCTGCACTTCTTTTGGTGTAGTTTTAAAAATAAGTTTTATCTGTAAATTTTACCATACATTGGGGAATCATTTTATGTGCAGAATAAAATGTTTTGGAATTGCTATTTTGTTCTTGCTGCTTGGTTTTGATTAGAGGTCACTTTCTATAAATGCTGATTAATATATGCCTCATCTTTAGCAAAAGCTACAGTTACATTTTTAGTTTTAAACATTTATGGTTTGTTTTTATGCAGGATGACCTTGATGATGTTGTGAACACATGGAACTCACAAAATCCGGGCAAGTGGGGGTGCAGTATCGGGCCGACCTGTGGTGATGTACTCATTTCCAGAGCTGCACAGGGCTGAGGATAGACTGAAACCTGTTTCTCTGGATGAGGTCACTGTGTGTATGGAAGAGTGTACACCAAAAGGTCCATATCCCTGTGATGAAACAGTCTTTGAACTTTGTTGTCTGCTTATGGTAGAACGCAACTTGGGGGCCTCAAGAGATCCACTTATTGCTGCTGATTTGTATATAAGGTTAAGAGAAGAAATTCTTCAAAGTATTTAGCAACTTTCAGTGTGCATAAATATCATTTAAAAAGTGTTGCTATTTATCTCCATCATGCCATTGGATAGTGTTTGCAATGTGATAGGTGCCCTCTAAACAGGGCTTCCTGCTCTACATCTAATTAAAGAATGAAAAGTATGCAAGCAAACAGAACCTTTTTGACATCATTTTACCAGAACATGAAAGTTTATTGCTGTCATTGTTTGTTTGTCGAGTTCTGATATGACCTGACATTAATGTACAAGCTGTTACTGTGCTGATAAAAATTAAAATTGCAGTTTGGTTGACAAGATTTCCTAACCCATAGTTTGTTTTGCTTTCAGTCATTTGAAGGAACAATGCTGATGCAAAGTTATTCAATGATAATCAGTTATGAACCAAATGTCAGTCCTTTTAAACGGGTATGCATTGTGATTCATATATATTTTTTTTGTTTAAAACAAAATGCTGTTCTGTTAAAGATATTGTAAGTATGGTTGAGATGTGAACAAAATGGCAGAAGAGCAAAAAGGATGTCATAAATTGAACACAAGGAAAACAATTGTCTGTGAAATAAAAATGAACTTCAATGTTTTGTTTACCAAGTCTTTTCATAATACAATTGATTACAGATATTTAGGAACAGCTGATAAAAGTCATTTTTTTATCACTATCTGAAATTAGCTAAGACAGTGGTCAGACCGCAAAGTGAGTAATAAGAGAAAGGAAACTGTGCAACTAAGGTCATCAGGTCGTGTCTCGAACGTGTGATGTCCACGTTCAGGACTGAGGTCTCCATACATGATTTGTGCTTTTCCACCACAGCACCCCAACTGTTATTGTTTTAAATTTGTTAAAATTAGCAAAATTGTATTTGCTAAATTTCAAAAAACAAGAATTTTTTTAGTTTTTATAACTATCTTCAAATTCAGCAATTTAAATACTTTTGGTTTTTAGACCTTTTCAAATAAAAGCCAAGCTTAGCTAACATATTGAAAACCATAACAGAAAAGTATTGGGTAAAGTAACATTTTATTAGCAAAATATTACAAAAAACCATGGCCATCACAATGACCTAACTTTTAAAACAAACTTTCAGATTGATATAACCTTGTATACATCCATAAGTTAGTATAAAATATATTAAAGCTTATATGGTATCAAAAATAACGTCATCTCAGATGCACAGATAGAACAAGTGCTAATTGATAAAATACACATACAAAAAATCTGTATGTTAACGAAATTTGTACAGGTGTCAGATCAATACCTAATTTTTGAACATGACAATATTGCATAAATTTGTTCAAATAACCTCAGCTTTTCCATTGCATTGTTTTTTTTTCTAACATTAGGAACAAGTAGTTTTCTTCAAAACATACTGAAATAATCTCACAGCTTGATTGATGACAGATGAACAGCACATATGCTTAGTGACAACATTTATAAAATTAAGGAAAATGTTTTCTATAACTTTCAATGCGCCATCAGGAAAAAAAAGTGTCTTTCCTTCTTGAAGAATGTCTTCTAATCCAGAATCAGTGGCCATTTTAATTTTTCTAGTGCCACCTCCCTGCTTTGCTCTCACCTGTTTGGTAGTTTTTCCATCACTATGTATCCATCCAATCTCAACATTTTTTGTTCCTTTTGGCTTCTTTTTCTGTGTTGTACTTTCATGTGTCATGGTCTCCTGTGGACTTTCATTTCTGTTCTTCATTTTGTCCAGAAGCTTTTGAAGAAGTCCTTGTTTTCTTTTTGACAATGGCTGTTTGCTTTTGCAGTAGTTGAAAACAGCAATTCTGTCTCCATATGAAGATAAGTAGTTTTCAAGTGTTGCATGGTCCATGAGACCTACTGCATCACAGTCAATCTGCACAGAAAAAGATTAGAAAGGACAATTATTTACTCTGTAAATCAACATCAAAGTTACATTTAAGATTGTACCCTTATGCTTCTGCTTAAAGCAATTTACTGTTTGGGGAGAATTACAATAATAGCAGCAGTAAATGTTAAATCCTCTATTTTACTGAAAAAGAGGAAGGACTGAATTGATTAGCATTCAAGTAAGTATAAAAACACAGATTCATAAATATATATAGTCTACTTAAGATAACAGGTATCAAGCATAAAAACACACAAGGAAATATTAACAGTTCCTTTTTATTACAAAAATTAAATATCACATTAAGTTTGATTTAGTCAAATGAAGCCTATCGTTTCTGCACCTGAGCAATAAATGTGCAGATAGTTTAGTTCAGGGATTGACATGCAATATCAGTCTTGAGCTGACACATCACACGATGCAGCTAAATGATTTAGTTAAGCTCATAATGTCACTTTTTCCAACGTCGTAACACAAACATATAATAAACATAAAATGCAGATAGGCGCATTAGTTGGTGTTGATAAATATAATGATCAGATCTACAACAGCCGTATATCGGTGGCTATATGATATTTTCCTTTTAAATATATGCATATATAAACGTCTGTCACTTTGTACTATAGTTTCTGTCCTCTACTGAACTAAGTTGCAGTTTAACACAGCAGACATCTTATTTAGAAAGTGGCTGACATATACAGCTAACCTTAGTTTAATTGTAAAACATTCAAACAGAACAACAATAAAATAAACATACCAAACACTTTAGAGACAATTCCAGCAATTAACAGCTGTTATATCCTATATTCATCCGTGTGATCTAACATTGTAAATCAGCTTATTCCTTTAACCGCGTATGCTAACAAACATGCTAACAGCTAGCCGTAACCGTTCGGCTTTAGACACTGAACTATCCCATTTGATTTACTCACCTTTTGTTCTTCCATTAGTGCAATGGACGCTTCTGGTACTCTTCTGGCACGTAAAAAGTCACTTAAATCAGACATTTTCTCCAGAACATTGGCTGTCCGCCACAACTCGCGTCTTTGTGGTTGCTGCTGGCGCCCATCAGTCCGAATTGTGACATTTTTTTTTTTTTTTTGTCACAGATTTTTTTTTTTTTTTTCTGGCCCACAATTTTTTTTTTTTGTCACAATTTTTTTTTTTTTTTTTTTTTCTGTCACAGATTTTTTTTTTTTTGTCCCGGATTTTTTTTTTTTTTTTTTTTCTGGGCTACAATAATTATTTATTTTTTTTTCTGGGCCACAATTTTTTTTTTCTTCTTTTTTAACCTATTCTGAACCACTGAAAAAAAAAATTTCGGACATTATTTTTTTTTTCCAGTGGCCCTAATCCTCTTCCGTAGCAACCTCATAATTTCAACTTCAACAAACACACTTTTTCTCAACATGTATACATTTTTTGTGCTGTTTTTAGGTTGTCAGGTTGTCTAATCACCAAAGAGGGCTGTGCAGTTCTGGAATCAGCTCTGAAGTCCAACCCCTCTCACTTAGATCTGAGCTACAATCATCCAGAAGAATCTGGAGTGAAACTCCTTTCTGCAGAACTGAAGGCTGCAGACTCTTAAGTATGCAGGATGGAGACTGAACTCACATTTCGGCTATCAGAATATTGCCGGTTAATTTCTAGCCCTTCTGTGTTGTTTCAGAACGGAACCAGCTGGAGCACAGTTTTTAAACCCTGGTCTGAGCAAATGTGAGTACTTTACTTTTTTTTTTTTTTAACAACTATAGACAGATTTTGTTCTTTGGTTTGTTTTATTGAAGTTTGAATGTCATCTTAAATTGATTAAACAAAATTAGGATGCATAAAGGCTTTTAAATATGCTCTTTTTTCCCCCATCTGCCTGTGAATGGTTCACACACAGTGGTGGAAAATTATTGCTTATGATTACATCTCAGATGTAATCCAGATTTAAAAAAATGGCTTTTGTCCATATGATCAGAGGGCCAATCTCAGGGATTATATTATAGCACCATCTTGTGGAGATTTTTTATACTATATGACAAGAAATACATTTAATATTTTTTTAAAGTTTCTTAACATTTTGACAGACTCCTCCCTGTACTTTACAGCAAAAGTCAAATTTTCACAATAAAGCACGTGTAAAATAATAAGAAAAAAAAGCCATTTGTCACTGCAGCTTCATGTCTGATAATTATGCAGCCATGTGAGGGAGACCAAGAAAAATAAATGATACAAGGCTCCTTCTCTAATTGGATGTAGAATGTATTAAATTTAAAAGTTAAAACCATTGTTGGTTCTGATGGACAGACATGTTGGTGTATAAATATCATCTGAAATGTTTGACTATCCTAAGCTTGAGTTCTCATGAACCTTTGGTTCTGGTTGAACAGCATTCCTGTGGTGCTAAAAGCAACTCCCAGAACGTTCCAGTGACAGAAAGCAAACAAGCTGTGGCATTATATTTATTCTTATGAAATTCTTTCGTCTCTAAGACACCATTGTTGTCTCATGTGGAAAAAAAGCTGAGACTTTCCAGTCAAGACATCTATAATTCTTGGAAAAATATTGATCCTATGGTTTTCTTCATTTGTCAGGGGAGTTTGAATGTATAAGACTTACACTTATGCGGCATTTAGCTTGATATATTGAAGAGGTCTGATGCAGAGTATGATCAGGGCTGTGTATAATGTTTTGTTTTAGAAGGAATATTAGTTTTCACAAAACATAAATGTTCCAGAAATATTTTTCAAGATATGGAGAAAGTTTCCTTTTCTCACCAGATTTTATTTATAGATCAAATCTGCATTTTATGTCTACATGTCTGAACATCTATAGAAACGACCAGGGCAATAATCCATCCATCACTTTTTTTCTAAGTACATCTGATGCAAATGTTTTTAGAGGTAACATATTTGAGTGATTAGTTATGTAAAAAGTAGATTTAGACTCTAAGCAGGCAATGTTGTAAATTTACAAAATGATCCTCTTTGGAAATCCTTTACTTCATTTGTTTGTCATACGTATTTTTGGATTTTTAAAATATTTGATAAATCTTTATTAATTGTAAGTTTAATTTTAACAATCTTTTACTTCAGTTTGACTTTTCTCTGCTGTGTCGAACTTCTGTTTATTGCAGGAGATTTAAATCTCAGGCAACCCAAAGACTTCAGTCCAAACCTGAAGGACCCGTTTGCTGACATATTTTACAGGGAAGAGAACAAGGAAACAAAGTATTTTTCATTTACCTCTCAGTGTGGTTTGCATGTCTCTCATGGACACGTACACGGTAAAGTAACATTGGCTTTATTCTGTTTTTATCTTTTATATATGTGTGTCTCATTACATAAAAGACAACTAATTATACATTTTCAGAAAATAGCTCTCAAAAGGAAACTGTCAATTTGAGAGAAACCAGCAAACATACTGTCAGATATATTTAAATGTGTTATTTGTATTTCAGTTTCTATCCGGTGTGGTCAAAAAAAAAAAACGTATTGAGTTATAACTGTTTGAGAAATGTTTTCATTCTGTCCTGAGGTAGAAATATAACAATGAAAGACCTTGAGAGAAATATGGAGGCTGATGTGTTGAGGAAGATCACATAAAATTTTTCATCTGAAATAATAAGTGCAAAGAGAAAGAGAAAATAAATAACCTGGCATGAGAAGAGCTATTTTTCTATGTGATTTATTTAAATTTTCTCATCAGCAGATAAACATG